GACCCGGATTTCGGCTTTTCGTTCTCTCACTTCGGTGCGAAAACCCCTCCGCCACGACAGGGCAGTGAGTAGGACTTCCTCAGCGCAGGCTATTTGAGATGCTTGGTCGTATGGGAGCATTTTGCGAGGTGCAAGGGAAGGGTAACCAGTCGCAACCCTAGACACCCACCTACATATTCAGTTGAGATGACATTCTCGAAAAGCTTCACTACAGACAGACATGCCATGGGACGGGATTTTGGGGTTGCCCTTTTAGGTAACGGAGTGCTGGAGGCATAATTCCAACAATCAGATATAATTCCCTATTCCAAACAATGGCTAAATAGAGCTGTAACTACTGGTAAAATTGTGGAAGCGCACTCCTTAGGGATGATATCCTGCGACCTTTTGGGATCGGTGATTTATTGGGTTTGAGAATTAGCAACTCCTTCAGAACAGCCTCCTGCTGAGAAGTGAAGGGTTCTGTACCGCTGAGGTCGGTGTTTGAACTGTCGACGGCCGGTCCCGTTTCCCTGTTACTGGTTTCTTTATGGACTTTTATTTTGCTCCTCAACGCCCCTTGCTGTTCGAAACATGACTGAAGATCGATCACTCAATTGCTTGATGGTGTTCCAGGTCTCCTGGCAGCTTTTGTTGTGCTGGTGTACGAGTGTAGATGCCGCTCACCTAAGATAGTAAGTGATAAGTTTCACCCTCTGAAGATCTTTGCGGTTGTATCCCCTTCCCTTCGATGCAACTGTTTCAGATGAGGCGAGATACGGTTACAGCGAACGTACAGTGTCCCCAAGGGGAACATATGCTGTAGCAAAGTTGAGATACTTTGTTAGGTGATCACAATAGATGACAGGACTAGGGTGGTAGAGGACAATGAAGGCTGCCTGGGAGGCCATCACAGTGAGCCTATCTAGGTTCTCTGGGTCACATTGACGTTTCCCTCTTTTGATGTCGTGGCCTTCCATAAATGTTGTATGGTTGAACTTGCTGCATACTTTTGGGGAAACGGTAACAAGGATATGGTCGGAAGAACCAAGTGGGGAGCAGGTAGATATGGAAAAATGCAGGTATTATTGACAAAACACGTACAAATGAGCATTGGCCTTGTTAGGAAGCTCACTGTTTGTCAAACTAGGAACATTCAAGAGGTTGATGTCGACACGATTAAAGTCATTACAGATGATGCATAGCGAGAAAGCAACGAAACTCGATAAACCTATGGAAGAAATATCTGAAAATGAAGAAGCTCCTCTGAACGACGAGTGGTAAGTATAAATGCTGACTAACACAATCGACCGACAGTTACTCAGGCGTCCGGGCTTGCATTTATGTACAGAGGCACAAACGTAACCAGTGAAGTGAACAAATGTCTGCTTCGAATTCTTAATCAAACTTATTTATAAGTCACCAAGCCTACCCACGCTTATGATGCGTTGCCGGATTACCTACAATTCTTTACCTTATATCATATATCATACCAGAAATATGCATGAGTTCATATAAAAAAAGAATCGCGGTCTAGGGCGAAAGTGTGGAAACAGGAAGACCGACTTGCCTTGAACACCCGTGCTACAACCTCATATTCCGGACCACTGACCTCCCGAGTCAGCTTTCCACTGTAATGCGTTTCCAACCACTCATCCGTGGCTGTCATTTCTAGCTCAACATGTGAATTCTTCTCAAATAGCATTATGACGAAGTGATAACGCGTTTGACCGTGTTTAATGGGTGGATCGAGTTGAACGACGAAGAACATTTGTCGATAGTCTGGGTGAGGTAGCATGAGTAACCGAGTTATGGAGCTCTTTGGAACTTTGAAATCAAACGATTTTCCATGTAGGTGGAAAAATGTTGGATACAACTTGACGTCATATCGACCACGGGGTTGCAAACATTGCAATTGTTTGAATTCTATAAGGAAATCACCAGTGACCTGGAAAAAATAACTGAGAAGTGGTGAAATACCTGAATTATATCTGCTTTTTCAGTAACTTTGTCGTATATTCTCTGAGCCTGCCCTTCACGCTCGATTTCAGTACCTGGAGTGTATAATCTCAATTCCGATAAGCATATCTCGGCGTCGTCGTTAAGGTGAAACTCAAATATCACCTCGTTCTTATTCAGCGTCGCATTGGACAAATTACTCAAAGGGATCTCGAACGCCATAGAATTTTTTACTGACATTTCGAGGACGTCCCCTAGAACCATTATAGATAACGGAAAAAGAAACGCACCATCAACATTCACATCACCCCAATTAAAGCCCTTATAGCACAACTCTCGCTTTGTAACATCGATGTCGAAATACTTTTTGAAAAATTTTGCCACATTTTCTGACTCAACTTCACCAAAACCG